AAAAAAAAACAAAAAAACAAACAAAAAAAAAAAAAGGTGCACCACTATGCATGGCTCTTAAAAAATAATTTTAATTCAATTTTTAAGTTAACCTGCAAAACAATGTATAAAAAAACAAACAAAAAAAAAAAAAGGTGCACCACTATGCATGGCTCTTAAAAAATAATTTTAATTCAATTTTTAAGTTAACCTGCAAAACAATGTATTTCAGGGGGCTGGAGAGATGATTCAGTGGTTAAGAGCACTGGTTGCTCTTTCAGAGCACTGAGGATCAGTTCCCAGCACCCACGTGGCAGCTTGCAACTGTCTGTAATTCCTGTTCTAGATCTGACACCCTCATACAGATATACATGCAAGCAAAAACACCAATGTACATAAAATAAAAGTAAATAAAAATTTAAAAACAGTTTGTTTTATTATGGCATTTTCGTATATATGTGTTCGTATATATATATTGTTCTGATTTGTATCCCCTGCCTTATTCCCATGCCTATTGTATCTTTTTTTTTTCTAAAATTTATTTTTATGTGAATTGGTGCTTAGCCTGCGTTCATGTCTGTGTGAGGGTGTCAGATCTTCAGAGTTACAGACAGCAGTGAGCTGCCACGTGGGTGCTGGGAATTGAACCCAGGTCCTCCGGAAAAGCAGTCGCCTCTCTCAACCTCTGAGCCATCTCTCCAGCCCCATGTATCTTTTTTTTTTAAGATTTATTTTTTTTTATTTTTTTAAAAGATTTATTTATTTATTATGCATACAACATTCCTTCCGTGTATGCTTACATGCCAGAAGAGGGCACCAGATCTCATTATAGATGGTTGTGAGCCACCATGTGTTTGCTGGGAATTGAACTCAGGCCCTCTGGAAGAGCAGTCAGTGCTCTTAACCTCTGAGCCATCTCTCCAGCCGTCACCTGTTGTATCTTTAATAAAGACCTCTGACGTTTTGATATGGCTCCCTCCCTCATGAGACTGAGAGACAAATGCAAAGCATCAGCTCAGAAACTTGAGTGATTATGTTGTGTCAAGGGCTGTGGGAGTGTAGCCCAAACTAGATATGTAGCATGCATAAGGCTCTGGATCTGAACCCTATCACTGGGGGAAACTGGATATAGTGGCTGCAGTTGCAACACTGAGGAGACTTAAGCAGGAGGATTGCCTAGAGCAGGACATCAGCCTGGGCTACTAGAGATCTTGTTTCTAAACAAGAATCATCCCATGTGTGGCAATTTTGATTCACATTCAGCCTCAAAGGCTTGGTGGGAGTTTGTTGTTGTTCCTTCCCAGTTTTGGGGATCCAAACCAGGGCCTGGGCAAGTGCTCTCCCATGAGCTCCTCCACAGTCGGAGAAAGATTTGTAAGGGCTACGGGACTTGTGGGGGGGGGGGGAGATGCCTGAACTCTGCCTTCTCTCTTCTGCGTAGGGCATCATGAAGCAGCTGCCCGTCTTGGAGCCTGGAGACAAGCCCAGGAAAGCCACATGGTCTGTAAGGAAAGTTCAGACACACACAAGAACTCGAGTTTTTGTTTCATTTATTACTAACATATTTGCGCATCACCAAGGGGGTAGCAATGAAACTGGGGTAATTGGACTCAAACTGTCTGAGGTCTTCAGAGGGGTGGGGGGGGGCAGTCATTATCACAGAACAGCTGCTAATTTTATTAAAACCTGTTTACCAGGAGGAATGATGCTGTGGCCATCTGGCATTCTCGGCTACAAATCCGAGGTCCTCCCCTGAGCTGTGACTCATTCTTAAGGTTGCAGGGAGTTGAATGTGGGTTATACTGGCTCCAGTGTGCATTCATCACCTCCTACTGGCTAATATTGACGGCTGCTGTATAGGCTCCAGAGTCCGAAGACAAATAGTCCCTCTGTAGTGAAGTTAGAGACAGAGCAGGTGATGGAGTCTGAGGGGCTCCCAGGAAGTTGCAGAGAAGTGCAGTGTTCCCACAGGGTTCCAGGTGAGCCTCCACGCCCACTTCCATACATGTGCTGAAGATGTGCTTTAGGGTAAAGCCCTCTAGAGAACTGGGAATGTAGCTTGATGGTAGGCTCTGCTTAGCACATGTAATACCCCTAGTAAGATCCCAGCACTGAACGGTAGGAGGAAGCGGGTACCATAAGGGAGGCCTGCACAAACAGCCTGTTCCTGCCTGTCTGTTCAACCGCAAATATCTTTACTTATTCTTTCACTGTTTTATTTTTTTTATATTTTTTTATATTTATTTATTATGTATACA